ATTTGTCTTTGTTGTAAGAGTCCATGTAAATGTTTGGCTTCATGTGAAGAGTAACAAAACATCACTTAATACTTTGAACTTTGAACGCGCTCGAGAAGACGTAAATTAATTAAACAGGACTCGCTAGCGTCAAGCCGCGTACTTGAGACATCATTTGATGCAAAATATGGAAATCAACAAAACAATGCAAATGTCAATGGATAAAAAAGACTTTAAGGCATTTGTATGGATGAACGAAAGATGAAAATATCTTACCTTGAATAGTCAAAATAGAACAGAAGCTTTATGTAACAAAAATTTGAAGACCCTGTCCTTCGAAATCAAAAAGCACAGGGATATGAGCGAGTTTAACATTTGTGTTCTACGCATCAAAAACGCGCACGACCACAATTCCTTGCGCTAAATAAAATTTAGTTCAGAACCCCTCTCCGCACAAATTAGACTGCTGCTACGCTCGCTCGCTTCAGGCTCGCTCGCTCCGCAGCAATAATAGCTATTTCATAAAATTGTGTGCATAGTTATGTAAATAAAATGTGTAACTGACTGTCTTTCTTATAGGCATATAATTATTATGGAATCTCTAACCTGGGACATTTCAACAAGAAAGACTGAATTGAGTCTTATTTTCAAGTTTGTAAAACATTCTTTTCTCCACCTGTTTTTCATAAAATGTGTATATAGATTTTCAAAGTCTGACCAATGAAACCTTTTTATAGCTATCTGTCTCACATAACAAAAAATTTTCTTTGCCAAAAAAACATCATCAACTGGTTTTCAAAGCTTTGAAGGTACTGGAGTGAAGATAAAAAAATGTTGCAATTCTTGAACTGTAACATAATTTGTGCACAATAAAATAAAGGAAAAGTATATTTCCAGGTTCCTCAACAACAGCCTACAAGCAACAATTGTGGAATATATATAGCAAAGTTTTTGAGACATTTTCTTGAGGTACAGTAAGGTGGTTGAATGTATAATGGCCTAGTTATGTTTTGAAATATTCTAATCAGTTTTCTGTTTAAATGATTTTTTCTTGCTTTGAACTAGGAATTGGAAATTTATGAGTCAGGACCAGAGAGGACTATTGCACCAAGGAGTACACATGGTTCAAGCACAAGGATGCTGAGAACACATGAGCAATGACAAGGTCGTACTTACAAAACCATTTACTTATTCAAAAACATAAAAAAGATTCCAATAATTGTTTGTTAAGGTAACAGCTAGAGACTAGAGCAATGGTAATCTTATTCAACATCACTACCAGTTGTCAATAAACAACACTTATCATCATCATCATCTTGATCAATAATGCTTGGCTCGAAATTGACAACTGCTGCACAAACCTGTATAATCCAGTTTACATAAAGTTTGACTGTTAATGGAATCACTCCTCTGAGGATACCAAAACATTTAAGCTTTCTAATTAAACGTTCAACATGAACTCTCGCACATGCTATTCTTCTTGTGGCTGTTGAAGCATTTGCAGATAAATTTCCTTTTCTCATCATGGGCGGAGCTAGAAGCTCTGTATGGTTAAGAGCCAATAAATCTTGTATGTTAAATCCTTTATCTGCCATAATAACATCACCAGGGTTCAGCTTCTCAAGAATACCACACTGTCTGACAATTTCTTTATCACTAATGCTTTCACTGTATAGCTTAGAGGCAAAGTTAAAATGTGGAAGTGGTGATATCGAAACGAACAGTTTAAACGTATTTCATGATTTATATGAACTGAATGTTGACCTTTGCGCTGCTATATTTCGCGCTGCTATTGCTAAAGGGTTTTTCTATGCAGAATTCGGTGCAATCAATGATACCATGTATGTTGGGAATGTTTCTGAAGGGTTTGGCAAATTCTACTCCAGACATTTCTTCAACATTAGAAAATGGTAGCAGAAACATTAGTTCTTCCTTTAGAAACAACACCTATGTAATGAAGGTCCTGCTAACTGTGCTAACTGATATGCCAAAAAGGTTAGAAAGCATAGTAATGCTTGGTTTGCGTCTCAGCCTCACGAGACCTATTATCATTTGCTCCAAAACTGTCAGCTTGTTGGATGCGTATTTATGCTAAAATAGGGAAAGTAATTAAGAGAAAATTACATATGTGATAAAAAATAGTCTCTTGACTCTGGTCTGATCAATCAATACAGTTGGACTGGTTTTTACTTGCAATGTATATAAGCAATGAGACAAATAATTACATTGCATGCTTCATATATATTTATAGACACTTTATAATGTATGAATAGCCTCTGTTTAGTAAACTGTTTACCTTTAAATAATGATTTTTTAAACTTTTATTTCTTGTTGTTTTTTCCCCTTTCCATGTGTAAAGCCTTGATGCCTTTTCTTTAACAAACTCATACACAGTAAGTAAAACCTCTTTTTCAAGACCTACAATATTTAAATATCACACAGTTTGTATGCTATATAAACACAAATTATTAAGTACAAAAGGCTGTGTAAATAAAATTTCAAACTCACCTGTGTAATGGTGAGTCTTGGTCGGATTCATAACCGTTTCAACAAACATAACCCTTCTCATGCTTTGTTTATTGGTTAACAATGAGTTGGTGTAGGGATTCATATGGTACATTTCAACATCAGTCTATTGATTAAACGAAAAAATTTAATAAATATTCCCTAACAGTCTTGCACTGAAAAATAAAAGTGAAACAACACCTGAATAGCACAGTGCACGGGTTCGTTTGTTAATACGGCTTTACTAGGGAAAGATTCTAAATAATTTTGTGTTGATGAACCTTCAGGACTTGACAAGGACATTGGTGTTTCGTTCACAGAAATTCCATCGACACTGATGGAACCATCGAGGAGCGTCAACAAAGCATCTGCAGCTGTTCTTTCGTCAGATTTTTTGGGTTTTTCGGATGCATTTAGTGGCTTGAATTCGTGTCGTTGGTGGTTTTCTTTTGCGGCTCAATCGTTCAACCTATATATATATATTTACAAATAATAACAAATAATAACAATACAGTAACAAATTGTAAACAAGTTTTATTAGAGTTAAACAGAATATACCGTGATACCTTTTCTTTGCTAGCATTTGCCGGTATTGAGTCTGGAAATTCTTGTGTTGGACCCTGTTGACCGATGAAGTGAAGACTGCAAACATAATTATCTTTTTTGCAAAAGAATCCATCGCCACGACAGCATGTCCTAATCCATGCTTCTCTTCTCTCTTTTAGATTTTTTAACGACGGAAATTTATGAAATCTTACAACATTACCATCCCGTGTCCTTAGACGTTCAGGATAACGGGAATCACTGTTACAAGTGGCAAAAGCACAACTTTTAACCATTACAAATTTGCATCGACCAAGCCAATATATTTGCGTTTTATTGCAAGTAGCAAACCTTCTATCTCACTGGGACACTTATTTTAATAAATTTCACATATTCTTGCCATAAAATGTACTAAAATTTCTTATAAATCCACTACGAAGTTGTGTGATATTTATATATATTTATATTGTTGAAATGTTTGTTTGTCCGAAAAAATGATGGGACGGGGGGTGAAACAGAAAAAGCGAGATCGCGTAATGTGGTGGTATGTATTCATGTAACAGCAATTTTCCCTGGACTGTTTTGGAAAATAAGTTAGCCTTAAAAGGTCGAGTGCCATATGATTGTGGAAGTTCACCTGATGATTGCTTTTTTGCAACCTTAGCACATGGTTTTTATAAAAATCCTGATTGCCATCTTGATATTCCAGGGCCGGATTAATGACGTGGTAGATGAGGCATATGCCGCGGGCCTCGCGCTTATGGGGGCCTCGCACTTTACTGTGCCACGCCCAGTTTAACGAAAACACACCCATTTTATCACTCAGTCTCGGTTCGCTCATTTGGGGTCCTCACGGTTCGCTCATTTGGGGCCCTCACGGTTCGCTCATTTGGGGCCCTCACGGTTCGCTCATTTGGGGCCCTCTCGGTTCGTACATTTGGGGCCTCTCGGTTCGCGCATTTGGGACCATTGCGCATTTGGGCCTCACGACTAGCGCATTCAGGGCCCCTAGGCTTGTTAGTTGACCCAGGAAAATATGCAACCATAAGCATGCAATCTCCTGTTGAGATATATGATCCGGTTTACACGTGTTGACCCAACAACGACTGGGGCCCTGGGCTAGGCAGGCCATTGTCTTGTGTATCGCTCAATTGAGATATTAAATAGAAGTCGTTCTGGCGTTGTATGATAAAGTGTAACACTGTTCGTCAACAACAGCTTTGACAATTGTTATTGAAGTTGAACATTTATTGATTGAAAGGTGAAAGGAGGCTGAAGTTTGGTTAGTATTAGTTATATTACTATTATAATATTTCCATATATGAAATTTCAATACTTGTCAATGTGCGTGCCATGCATGGATCAAGATGCATCTATATCTGAACTGTCAGTGTTATACGATAAACCTAAATGTTATTATGTTAGTCTGTTAAATCTTGGGTTTTAAAACCAGTGTATCGACTATGACGATATTATATATTTCACTGATGAAAAAACAATATGCGCGAATTTACCGTTTGCGTGAACGCCCAATTTGTAACTAAGCAAAACAAAACTCAGCGCTGTCCTGCGAATTGGGAAACTGTAATTCAAGATATAATTTGTTCAGGTAATTATATTCGAAAATGCGCAAATGTGTATATGAATGGTATTAACGGTACAGTCTTTGGCTTTGTATATACTGTGTAGCTGACTAGCTGACAATGCCAGACATTGAAATAAGACCCAACTATAATGTCTAGGTTACGCTGTTATGTTCTGTGGGGGTTGATTTCCCGTTTTTGTCTCATAATTATGCACTTTCACAGTTTAACTACACCACTGCACAGTAATTTATTAAATTAGCCTGCATTTTATTTTATCAGCTGCAAAACTCCGAGATTTTTTTAAAATTTTTGTTTTGACTGTAACAGTGTAAATGTGACGGCATGTAAAAACCCTGTTTCCTACAGAATGCTACATTAGAGTGGGCAATGAGTTCTGCAAGTGGCAGTCGAGACCGAGACAAAAATCGTAAACACCTCTCTGGAGCAGCAAAACACAAAGCGAAGAAAGAATGTGCCTCATGGGAACGCAACCTATTGAGCAAAGTACCAAAAATCTCAACACTATTCGGTTCCAATAGCAGCGCTGCAACTCCAAGCGGTGAGACTAGCGACTTGGACGCCAGTAGTAGCAGTATCTCTGTAGACGCCCTCACGGATGTGCAATGTCAGCAACATGATGAAGGAGCTAGCGGATCGAGCACAACAGAGATACCTGTAATATCTAATGATCTCTCCGATCCCCATTCTTCTGATTTAGGATTATGGCCAAATACCATTTCGAACAGCATGAGAGGAATACTGGGCAATGAAGGGAAGTAGCGACTGCAATAATTCTGATGCAGATTTTAGTGCCTCATCCACACTACCCAAAGGCGATAAATACACGCAACAGTGCCAGAAAACTTTGTTCACTTATACGCACCAACTCATGAAGGAGCAACATCCTCTCACTTGGCTCTGTCACCATCCCAACATTCACTATACTGTTTTGCGTGCAAACTGATGACAGATGTCTTAGTTTTTGGAAAGCAGGGGTGCAGTGACTGGAAAAATTCTTCTCAGCAAATTTCACGACACAAGAAGAGTTTAAATCACCGACAAGCCATGATTCAGCTACTATAACGCAGCGATACAAATTCTCGTGTTGATGCAGAACTAATCAAACAGGCGAAGACAGAGCGTGATTACTGGTGTGCAGTCCTAGAGTGGGCGGTCGAAGCTGTTCGCTTACTGGGGGAGCGTGGATTAGCGTTTCGTGGCTCAGATGAAATTGTCGGTTCTGACAAAAACGGAAACTACTTGGGCATATTGGAATTCTTGGCGAAGTTCGATCCATTTCTTGCGCAGCATATAAAGTTACACGCAAACAAGGGACGGGGTCACACATCATATCTGTTTAAGACAGTTTGTGAAGAATTATTCGATTTGATGGGAAATCGTGTGCTGGATCAGATTATTTCAGAAGTGAAGTCAGCAAAATATTTTTCGGTTTCCGTCGATTCAACCCCAGATGTTGCTCACGTTGACCAGCTCTCCTGCATTCTACGGTATGTTTTGCCATCAGGTCCTGTTGAGCGGTTTGTTACCTTTCTGGACATGCCAGGTCACAGTGGGCGAGAACTAGCGGAAAGCTTGCTGAAATTCCTGGAGAAGCATGACATTGATATCGCAAACTGCCGAGGTCAGTCCTACGACAACGCAAGCAACATGAGTGGCAGATACAATGGTATGCAGGCCATTATCCGACAGCATTGTGAGATGGCTCATTATGTACCCTGTGCGGCACATTCACTTAACTTGGTTGGTGAATCTGCAGCAGGTTACTGTCTGGGAGCCGTTGCCTTTTTCAAATTTCTCCAAGGAATGTATTCCTTTTTTTCCGCTGCAACGCATCGCTGGAAAGTTCTTAGTGACAAACTATCTAGCAGAAGCCTTCCAACTCTCAAGCACATGTCTGATACTCGCTGGTCCGCAAGCACAGATGCGACGAAAGCGCTGGTGGACGGATATGATGAAATCTGCGATGCCTTGTTGGAGCTTGCTGGCGACATGGAACAGAAAGCTGCCACCCGAGAAGAAGCAAGAGGTTATGTCGACATCATGAATCGGCTGGAGACAGGCATACTAGCTGTTTTGTGGTATCATATTCTACATCGTTTTCACGGCAGCAGTCAAGTTCTACAGTCCGCCGAACAAGACCTCAATTCAGCTGTTGCAATCTACGAGTCTCTTGCGGATTTTATCCGAAAGCTGCACACCAGATTCGAAGAGTTCAAAAGGAAAGGAAAGGTACTGAGTGAATGTGACCAATACAAGGAAGACGTCCAACGAGTGTGTGAACGTAATCACTGTTACGATGATCCGGAAGCAGCACCTAAACAGCCGCAGACTCCAGCCGACAAGTTTCGGACAGGAACGTTTCTAGTAATTGTAGACAGCATCGCTAGTGAATTGCAGAAACAATTGGACGCCTATTCAGAAATTGCTGCGAAGTTTGGCTTCTTGCGAACGCTCAAAGACTTGCCAAAAGAGAAAGTAACCGAATGTGCAATCAAACTGCAAAATGCCTACCCCACAGATCTGGAAGACAGTTTGTCTGACGAACTTTTGCAATTTTCCAGCTTTCTGAACACAGATTTTGCCAGGAAATTGCTAGAAACATCTGCATCTCGAACAATCCCTGCCACTTCTTCAGTTACCATTCCTGGGAGTGAGATACCCTCTGATGAATCGGACCTCAAAGAAGCCGAGTCGGTGGCCGTGGTCACAAAAGATGACGATGACACTCAAACTCATTGAGTGAGAGATCCAGGGGGAGATCCTAATCTTCTCATAATGGCGGTATTTCCAGCCGAAAAGGGACTTGATTTCAATGATTTACCTTATATCTTTCTATCTATTCAAAGAAAACTTTCTCATTGATCAGCATTGACAAAATTTATATGTCACACCCAATGACTGTGAGTGTGAAAGAGCTTTTTGAATACAGGCGTCAAGTATGCATTAGACACCAGTGACATTAATCCCTGATTTCAGTGATCTGTATGATACTTTGTTAGCTAGCTTTAGCCATTTTAATTGTTAACGTTTTGTTATGTATGTTTGTTGTTGGATACTGAAAATGCATTTCTAAGACCCAATTATACCAAAAAATGGATAATAGATAAAATTAAAAAAAAATATCTTGCAAATTTGTGTGTGTTTGAATTCAAAAGTTTTCATAACGAGGGGATGGGGGCCCCGCGCTAAAAATCTGCCACAGGCCTCGCGCGAGGTTAATCCTGCCTGAGTTATATATTGAAAGTCTTGCAAATATTTTATGGGAGAATTATATTGAAGACATGTCACAACCTGGAACATGGTGTGATAATATCATTATTCAAGCAGTAGCAAATGCTTTAAGCTGCACTATTCATATTACTGATTCCAGTCCAAATGCTAATGCAACCATTGTAAACCCAATTAAGTTTACACCGGAGGCAAAAAAATGTATTCCTAGGTTATATAACTGGTGTACATTATGTTTCCACTTTACCAAATGAAAGTGTGGGTAATCAAACAGATAGTAAAAGAAAGGAAATGCTGAAGAAAAGGAGAATTTATGCCAAAAAAAGGCGATGTGATGAAACTGAGAATGCAAAAAAGATTCCGCTTGACAAAGTGCCAGAGCAAAAAAATCAACAAAAGGCTAGTGAAACTGCACAGAGTGTCACACAGTCTAAATATCTAAATGAATTTGATGCTGTGAAAAATGGACCACTGCTGGCACCGCATTATCAATGTTGGGCAAAATGTAATGTGAAACAATTTCATAAATCTGTACAATATTTTATATTCCAATGCACAGTTTGCAAAGAGGCATGGCCAATTACCACTAAACCAAAATTCCCTGGTATTTATTTGTCCTCTCACTGTTCTAGGGATAAAAACACACCTAAAAAAATTTCTGATGCTAACAGCATGATTCCAGGACCAGTACCAGTTGAGTTGCAAGGCCTAACTGAAACTAAAGAAATGCTCATTGCTCGAGCTCTGCCTATAATGAGGGTTTATATCAAACCAGGTGGGCAAATGGGGTATTCAAGGCATTGCATTAATTTGCCTCAACATATTGAAGAGACTGCAGGTTATAAGCCCATGTTACGGGTCGCGGAATATATAATTAGAATCGCGGAAATATATAGCACAGTGTTTCCAGTTTTCTGTGTTTCCATGTTTCTATGTTTCTTATTTCTATGGTTCTAGTTTCTATGTTTCCAGGTTTCTACGTTTCTATGTTTCTGTGTTTCCGTGTTTCTACATTTCTACGTTTCTATGTTTCTGTGTTTCTGTGTTTCTATGTTTCTGTGTCTCTATGTTTCTACGTTTCTGTGTTTCTACATTTCTATGTTTCTGTGTTTCTATGTTTCTGTGTTTCTGTGTTTCTGTGTTTCTATGTTTCTGTGTTTCTACATTTCTACGTTTCTATGTTTCTGTGTTTCTGTGTTTCTATGTTTCTACATTTCTATGTTTCTACGTTTCTGTGTTTCTATGTTTCTACGTTTCTGTGTTTCTATGTTTCTGTGTTTCTATGTTTCTGTGTTTCTATGTTTCTGTGTTTCTATATTTCTTTGTTTCTGTGTTTCTGTGTTTTTATGTTTCTGTGTTTCTATGTTTCTGTGTTTCTGTTTCTCATATAGAACTACTGCTACTACAGAATATAACCCTATTTATACTGTTTCCCTGCATTAGCATAAATGTTAATTTAACCTATCAACACCTTTCCCCTTATAAAAAGAAAAAAAAAATCCTAAACAAATAATATGAGATCCAATAATTGTTCCTATAACAAGAATGTTCCAACAAAACCTAAAATTACTAATATTCCTATAAATATTTCTAAACAAGAATATTCCAACAAAGCCTAAAATTACTAAATTCAGATAAATGTGTTTTTCTTTCCTAAGAATTAAACGTTATCGTACATAATCTTTAAGTTTTACTGGCGATTTACGAATTCTTGTCGAACGCCTCAGAGGTCCTGGCTGTGTTTCTTCCGGTGGAGGTGGCTGTGCCGTTATTTGTTTCTCGGTTGTTTCTATTGTTAATGGAGTCAGTGAAGTCAGTGAAGTCAGTGATGGTAAGGTTTCGTCTGGGAGGGATATTATTTCTACGTCTTCCTGGTTCGCTTTATTGAAAGACTGGGGTGTAACTTCAGCTTTCCGGATTTGTTTATGGTTTCGTTGAATTAGTCCAAGAGACGTATCCACTACACACGATCGGTGGCCACAATCTTTTACGACTTCTCCATATATCCATGGCTTGTGCTTATTCTTCGGGTTTGGTTTCACAAAGACACGATCGTTTCGCAAGAACGTGTTCAAAGGGTGCGGTGATGCTCTTTTATCATACTGTTGTTTGGACCGGACTCTACGTGACATTATATCATTTACGACTTCAGTGCTGGGAACAGGATGTGGGATAAGTTGTTGAGGTACGGACACAGTGATATCTCGTAATTTCTGATTCATAAGTCTTTGAGCAGGTGAGAACTTGTGACCCTGTTGTGGAGTGTTCCTGTACGCCAACAATGCCAAATAGGGGTCTTCATGCCGTGCTTTTTTTAGAATATTTTTCGCTACTTTTACCGCAGATTCTGCCTTTCCATTGCCTTTACTATGATAAGGTGAGGACTTAACTGGGTTGAATCCATATTCACTGGCAAATTGGCTGTACTCATGGCTACTGAATTGTGGACCATTGTCACTGATGCATACGCGAGGAATCCCTGCTCTGGTGAAGTTCTTCTTCATGGCGTTGATGACTGCCATTGCTGACGTATTCTTTAGCCAATCAATTTCTATGAAATCACTGTAATGATCAACAGTTACTAAGTACGTTTTACCATCCAATTGAAATAAATCAACTCTTACTCGTTCCCATGGAAGTGTGGGAATTTCTTGAGATTTCATCGGTTCGGTTGGTCGTTCTGATTTATACTGTGCACATAGTCCACATGACGAGCAGGTTTGGCGTATTGCCGCTGACATTCCTGGCCAGAATAATGTTTCTCGGGCTCTTCTTATACTGCTGTCTGCACCTTGATGAGCTTTGTGTATCTTGTTCAACATCTCTTGTCTCATTGATGACGGGATAATTACTTGATGAGACTTCAATAGTATCCCCTTATCAACCGTAATCTCGTCTCTAAAAGACCAGTATGGCCGAAGATCGACAGGTAGCAAAGCTCTATCTAACGGCCATCCTTTTAGTACTGTTTCATAAAGTGATTTCATTGTTACGTCACTCGATACTTCTTCTTTTAGTCGCTCAAATGTGACATTAGACAAGTTGGGTGGTCTAAGGTCCATTGATGATAATTCCATGCGAAACACTTCTTCATCACTTGTTCCCATTTTCGTGGGATTGGTTAAAGCTGCTCGAGACAAAGTATCAGCAATGTACATCTCTTTCCCTTTTTTGTATTTCACGGAAAAATGGTACTGTTGCAACTTGAGCATCATGCGCTGAAGCCATCTAGGTGCTTTGCTTAACGGTTTTCTAAAAATTGTTTCCAGTGGCTGATGATCTGTGTGAACGAGGATGTTTTTCTTCCCATACAGGTATTGGTGCCATTTGTTCATACAAGTAACGATAGCCAGGCACTCTCAATCTGTGCATAGTTTCTTTCAGTTGAATCAAGAGTATGCAACGTAAAACACACTGGTTTCCCATTCTGAAGTAAAGCTTCACCAATTGCTTCATCTGATGCATCCACTTGCAGAGTTACAGGTAACGTGACATCGTAGTATTGCAGCATTGTGCTGGATGCAATGAGATCTTTAACCGAGTTAAAAGCGCTTTCATGAACATCTGTCCATATGAACTCTACGTTGATTCTAGTTAGATCTTGCAATGGTAAGACCATGTTACTTAGCTTTGGGCAAAACTTTGAGAGGTATTGACACATTCCCAAGAAACGTTGAACTCCATTTCTGTCGACAGGCTTTGGCATCTCTTGTATGGCAATCACTTTGGATGGATCAGGGGCAACGCCTTTGTCAGTGAGGGTGTGTCCCATGAAGGAAACTTAAGTTGCTTTGAATTGAATTTTCTTGACTGATAATCGTAGGTCATGCTCGCTACATCAGTCCAATAACGCAATTAAGTTCTTATCGTGATCTTTACTTGCTTGTTTCTCTGTATCTCCACACCCAAAAACGCAAATGTCATCAGCGATGTTTATGACACCCTCCAGACCTTCAAAAAACTCACGTTGTCTTCGCTGATATTCTTCTGGACCAGATGAGATTCCAAACGGCATACGCAGATATTTGTAACGTCCACTTGGGCCTTGGAATGTTGTAAGTAAGGAGGACGGTTCGTCTAACACTACGTTATGAAACGCCTCAGAAACGTTGACAGTTGTAAACACTTTTGCTTTAGTAAGAAAAGGAAGTTTTTCTTCAATTGTTGGGATTGTGTAGATTGGACGTTTTATTGCTTTATTTATTGTTTGACTTGGATCAATGCATATTCGGAGTTTGCCATTAGGCTTTTCTTTTATCAACATATTTGATAACCAGTCCGTTGGTTGTGTAACTGGAGCTATGACCCGTTCTTCGCAGAGCTTCTCCAATGCTTCATTAACTCTCTGCACCTTTGCTACAGGAATACGTCGGCGAGGAGCATGCACTGGCCGAATGTCAGGATCCATCTCGATATGCATGGGTGCACCCAGCGGATTTCCTCTTCCAGGTTGGAATACTTTATTATAATGGTCTAGAACGAATTGTTTTGTTAACTTCCCCAATTGTGGAATTTTACTAGACGTGCTAAAAGGTTGGGTTCTTTGACACACTCTTTCTTGACTCAGGATGTTGCCTGCTGACTTTTTAGCAGTGGACTCTGAATTCTGATGATTGAACTGTTCACTCTGGATTTGCTGGTTATGCACATTTGAATTCTTGTCCGTTTTTACTTCATTCACGGAATGAATTTCATCAGCATGGATATTCAAATATCCCAGGATCTCTGCGTCTCGACCACTCAACAATGGCGGCTTTCCACGAGGTACGTCAACTACGATGTACTATGAAGTCCAATAGATGCAATTTTCCTTTCCTTTCACAACAAAAAGTCACTTTGCCTTTTGGTTTTATTCTTTGATCCCCATACGTCTGTATCGCAGCTTTAGTTTTCTCAATTTTAATGTTTGGGAAATGCTGATGTAAGATATCCTCAGGAATAGATCCTCATGAATAGTGTTGCACGTTGACGCTGAATCGATTTGTGCTTTGATAACCTTTGATCGATTGGTTTCGACGACGGTCAGATGTGCAAAGAATTTCCGTCCGTTTGAATTTTGTTGTTTGCTCATATCGTGATCTGTCATAAACAATTCTTCATTTGCATAATTATCTTCGAACTCAACTTGATTTGCATACAGTTGTTGTTGTTGTTGTTGCTGCGGTTGTGCATGTGATTTTCGACTCTCCACACTTCTACAAACTCTAGCAAAATGTCCCAGTATGCCACAATTATTACATCTTTTTGAATACGCTGGACAGAATCTCTGTCGGGGTTGCTTATGTTGGCCACTACACCAAAAACACGAGTCACGGTTCGATTACTTTTGTTTCATATTGTTGTTATAACTGACTTGTTCTAATACTTGTGTTTCTCTGGCCGTTTTGATGAGTTGATTTGTCGCTGTCGTTGCTTCAAATGTTTTGGCAACCTCAACAACTTCCCGGAAGGTAACCTTTGCTCATTCGCCGGTCTTATGTCTATGGCCTTTCCTGATGAGTTTAACGCGGAGCTGTTCTGATGTTAAGCCTGATATGAACTGGTCTCGCATAAGTTCATCTTCAAAACTTTCGTATTCGCACTGAGCACTCTGATTTCGTATACGAGACTCCCACAAACTTATCGATTCTGCATCTTGTTGTAGTAAGCGAAGAAACTTTTGCCGTTCCCCTGAGACTCCAATACTTGGGCCATAGTATTCTCGTAACGCTTGAAGTACTAAATGAGGCTTCTTTTGCTCTTCTACGCTAAGACCTAAACTGTATTTGTAGACAGTTCTTACTGATGGTGTAAGACACGCTCGAAGGCAAGCTATTGCTTTGTCAGTCTTAATCCATCTTTCTCCTTCAGTTGACTTTGACGGGTCATACCAATTATTGAGCGTGCAGTAGTCTTTTAAGTCTTCTTCAAAGACCTCGATGTCGCGCTTGTCGTCTCCTGTACTTTTAAATATTGGAAATGGCAAGTTCATAGCCATTATTTAATATTAAATTGCTCACTGTACCGAGATGTAAAACGTGTATATTTGACTAATATCCCACCGCTGCCACCATGTTAATGTTACTTTATTCTCATATAGAACTACTGCTACTACAGAATATAACCCTATTTATACTGTTTCCCTGCATTAGCATAAATGTTAATTTAACCTATCAACAATAGAAACACAGAAACATAGAAATGTAGAAACACAGAAACACAGAAACGTAGAGATGTAGAGATGTAGAAACACAGAAACATAGAAACATAGAAACACAGAAACATAGAAACATAGAAACACAGAAACATAGAAATGTAGAAACACAGAAACGTAGAAACATAGAAACACAGAAACACAGAAACGTAGAAACATAGAAATGTAGAAACACAGAAACATAGAAACGCAGAAACACAGAGACGTAGAAATGTAGAAACACAGAAACACAGAAACTTAGAAATGTAGAAACACAAAAACACAGAAACACAGAAACCCAGAAACATAGAAATGTAGAAACACAGAAACATAGAAACATAGAAACATAGAAACACAGAAACATAGAAACACAGAAACATAGAAGCATAGAAACACAGAAACATAGAAACACAGAAACATAGAAACACAGAGATGTAGAAACACAGAAACATAGAAACACAGAAACGTAGAAACCTGGAAACATAGAAACTAGAACCATAGAAATAAAAAACATAGAAACATGGAAACACAGAAAACTGGAAACACTGTGCTATATAAATTCTACTTGACCTGCCATGGTCAAGTAGAATTTTCTGCTTGCCATGGCGGGCTGCCACTCGGTGTCATCCTACTACAAATCATTCCCTTTCCCGAGTACCATTCTCTCCTAATTAATCCACCTTTGAGCTGATAAGCTCTGGATATTGAAGAAACTAGTATTGTTTCGAAATATCAAAAACCCGCAGTTGGCCATGTAGCTCAGTTGGTAGAGCATCGGACTAGTATACCGAAGACCGCGGGTTCAAATCCTGCCGTGGTCAAGTAGAATTTTCTGCTTGCCATGGCGGGCTGCCACTCGGTGTCATCCTACTACAAATCATTCCCTTTCCCGAGTACCATTCTCTCCTATTTAATCCACCTTTGAGCTGATAAGCTCTGGATATTGAAGAAACTAGTATTGTTTCGAAATATCAAAAACCTGCAGTTGGCCATGTACCTCAGTTGGTAGAGCATCGGACTAGTATACCGAAGGCCGCGGGTTCAAATCCTGCCGTGGTCAAGTAGAATTTTCTGCTTGCCATGGCGGGCTGCCACTCGGTGTCATCCTACTACAAATCATTCCCTTTCCCAAGTACCATTCTCTCCTAACTGTGCTATATATTTCCGCAATTCTAATTATATATTCTGTGACCCGTAACATGGGCTTATAACCAGACTGCATCATTTCTGCCAAGATATCCCAGGGACTTGTCTATCATTGTAGTTAAGATGAAGGGTAAAGATAGCACATTCAAAGATGTTAAGGTCAGAAGAGAGAAAGTGCATCATGCATTGCTATGGCTTTTGAGAAATAATCCGCATTTTCAAATCACTCCCTATTGATGGTGTTCCATCTGATATAGTGACAGTTGCATCTGAAAATGATATTTTATCAGATGAAATTATTTCGCCTGACTTAGGCCCTTGCAGTGATAACAATGAAGACAAAGTCTACCATGAGACAACAGAAACGAGTAGTTTTATGCCAGCCTGTGAAAAACAGAAAACAGAAGTAGATGCAATAAAAAATAAATTTCTCGCTACATTGGCATTTCCTACATTATTCCCCACAGGTAAAGGGGATCCAATAAATCTATCACTTTTAAAGGACATTCCCTTAGGTGAGAAAGTAAAGCATCTTGTTAAATTTGCTGAGCAGATTAATGGCAAATAAATTTTCTGATTTGCCAGTCATCCTAGGTTTTGTTATTGAGCATTTAATATGATACAGAGAAAACTAACCTTGCAATAAAGTGGAATGTTTCTTAAGCAAAATCCAGGTGAAGCTCACTTGACAATAGATGAACTGCGTGAAATGGCAGCAGGTGATAACAATAATGCATTTATTTCTAAGATATCTCGATATGTAGCAAATATTGCTGGCTCTAATGCTTACTGGTATAAGGTGAGAGAAGATCTCAAAGCCATTGTAACAACTGTTGGGACTGCTTTTCTTTACATTTTCTTCGGCTGATATGCATTGGCCAGAGTTGCATAGGC